ATGGTCAGGAGTGTTGGGAAGATTTGATGAAGGACTTGACAATGAGACAAGGGTGCGTCAGGCACCCCCAAATGCTCCTCAATTTGAAGATGAAGAAGATGGTTATTTATTGTCGGCTGACCGCAATGAAGAAAGACAAAAACAGCTTTTTGAGGATTTTGTTTCCTCGCGTCAAACTTATGATGTGTTTCTGTAAGGTCGATCTCTCTAGTCGACCTTCACTGATTCTGAGGGCACACGGCCGAAGCCAGACGAAAGTAGCACCTGAGTATGATTTCTGAAAAGGCCTATAAAACACCGAACAATCAATAAGAAAAGCTACTAGTAGAGAGAAGGAGGAAAAGGGTTCCTCCTGAGGGAGTCATACCTATAAAACACCGAACAATCAATAAGAAAAGCTACTAGTAGAGAGAAGGAGGAAAAGGGTTCCTCAAGAGAAGAAACCAAAAAGGAAAGAGGATGGACAATCTATATAAGAAACACTACACTCTACTCTGTAACCCCATAGTCTATATGTAACTAACTCGTACCCCATACTCTTCCTTACACCCCCCCCAACTAAAACAAAAGTCCCCCTAAAGACTTCCTCCACTATTCCCAAATTCAAAAGTAAACAAAACAGAACATAGAACAAAACAAAATTGAAGAAATAATCAAAAGAAGAAACTAAATTAACGTGAGATAAAAGAAATTAAAATTGAAACAGAAAATAAAAAATTAAAAATTGAAACAGAAATAAAAGAAAGGAAAGAAAAGGAAACCATTGATAACTAAATCCGTAAATCCTGGCATTTGAAGAATCGTCGAATCCCCGCGCCGCGTCACGTCCTGAAAAGAGCAAGGTCGAAGATTATGTGCTCACAGGCGTGGCCAAGGTGTTGTTGCGAAAATGGGAGGTGGTAGAACCCCGCGGCGGTGCATACTTAAGGAAGGAACTTACTTGCACAGGGTAGTCCTTCGCCCCACTCAACAGTTATCCACCAACTCATCTGTCTGATACTTCTTCAGCTTCGAGATATGGAAGATGTCGTGAGATTTATCGTTGGCCGAAAGTCGTAATCGGACATCTCTCCCTCCATTAATGACCTCCAGCACCTTGTACGGACCATCAAATCTCGCTCTCAACTTTGCCACCTTCCCCCCCACTTGCGCGCTTCGATGTGTGCTGTCTACCAACACCTGATCCCCTACTTCCAACTTCAAGTCGCCCCCCCTTCTTTTGTTGTACTGTACCGCCTGTTCAACCCTCGAGACCCAAAGCTTATCTCGACAACGGGCCCAGTCAGCCTGTCGAGACATCACCCACTTCTCAACGTCCCGACTGCTCGATGCTCTCGATGACGGGATTGGAAAAAGTCGCGGCTGATGACCTAGTACGAAATACATGGGCGAAACCCCCGTCGCCGAATTGACTGCCGAATTGATGGCAAATTCGACTGAAGGTAAGGACTCTAACCAACGTCCCTGACGGCCTTGAGTTGAAAATCGTAGAATTTGACCCAAGGTTTTGTTCGTACGCTCAGAACGGCCGTCCGCTTGAGGATGATACGCGGTGGTTATATTGATACTAATACCCAACAGGCAATGGAGTTCTTTCCAGAACTTAGAGACCCATATCTTGTCACGGTCACCCAGCATCTCATCCGGAGCTCCAAAAAGCGATAACCAAGAACCGTAAAGGCGACGAGCCGTCTTTTCCGCCGAGTCCTTCTGATTCGTAGGTATCAAGCGTACAAACCCGGTAAGTCGACAGGTACAAGACAGTAGCATATCGTAACCTGAAACCTTAGGTAGAGGTCCCACAAAGTCCAGCGCTATACTACTCATCGGCCGTTTGGGTAGATCCGTGGTCTGCGCTCGTCCTGGCAAAAGAGTAGTTCGCGCTTTGTTCCTTTGACACTCATCACAACGCCTGACCCACCTCTCAACCTCATCACTCAATCCCGGCCAGAAAAACTCTTCTTTCAAACGATGGTAAGTCTTGAGGTTTCCTAAATGGCCTACTGCTTGATGTGCCGATTTCACTAAAGCAGTCCTCAACTCCCCGTTCACTGGGACCACAACCCTATCATCCATCAACATCAAGTCATCTTCCCATCTACAGTTCGCCCGGAGTGGTAAGGTTTTTGCTAGCTTGATACAAAATGGGTCCGTCTTATACCCCTCCGTAATAGTTTGACGAGTTTCAGCATCCAGCGCGGGTCGAGATTCAGTCAAGGCCGCTGTATCAATGCGCGATAGCGCATCCGCAACTGAATTGTCTGCACCTTGTAGATATTTAAAATCTAGATCAAATTGTGATAATATTTCTAACCAGCGTGCTTGTCTGCGACTGAGATTTCGTTGTTTCAGCAAATATGTTAAAGAATGATGATCCGTCATTACATTAATCTTTAAACCTAGAAGGAGAAGTCGCCACTTATTAAGAGCGTGCACGACAGCCAATAACTCCTGCTCATGTACAGGGTAATTACGTTCTGCGCCCGTCATGGTTCGACCATCATAAGCAACCGGGGAAGCGGTTTCCCAATTGTGACCTTGAATAGCATCGGTGAAAAGCCAAACCGGCTCCTCAGAGTCGTAATCTAAGTTTCGGAGGACCGGCAAGGTGGTGATCATGCGTTTGATGTTGTTAAAAGTGTCCTCTTCTTTTACTGTCCACTTGAAGTCCTCTGGTTTGCGCTTAGAACTAGTCAACGGCGTCAATGTGCTAACATATTTAGATAATCCTTCGATAAACTTCTTCATCCACTGCACGGTCCCTAAGAATTCTTTGAGTTGCTTTGGATTCTTAGGAGACCGCCAGTTCGCCACCTTCTCTACTTTTTCCTCATCAGCCATGATGCCTTCGTCTCCAATCACATGTTTGAGAAATTTGATCTGTCGGCGGAAAAGTTGGGTCTTCTTAATGCCACAGTAGAGTCTAGCTGCTCGAAGACGTTTCAAGACTTCTCGTAAGTGATACTCATGCTCCTCCACCGTCTGAGAAAAGACCACGATATCATCCAGATACACGACACAAACCTTATTCACCAAATCCCCCAAGGCCTCCTCGCAACGACGTTGTTGTGTCGCCGGCGCATTAGTTAGCCCCATAGGCATCACAACCCACTCGTACAGACCCCACGGAGTCTTAATGGCAGTCAGTGGTATGTCTTTTTCCTCCATCCTTGTTTGAAAAAACGCGTTGATTTGATCCAGAGACGAGTAGATCTTACCCGATGCGACAAGCCTCACCGCTTCATTGGGATTCGGTAAGGGTCCCCGGTCTTTCACAGTGTATTTGTTCAGGGTCCTGTAATCACAGATGAGGCGAGGAAGGGCTGTCGGGTCTTTCTTCGGTATGATCATCGATGGTGACGCATAAGGACTCGAAGATTTCCGAAGTCAACCGGCATCGATATGCTGATTGATCAGTTTTTTCCACGCGTCAAGGTGTTTCCGTGGGTACCCGTATTGTTTGTCGTTAATTTGAATATCAGGCTGGGTGAGAATGATACGATGACGAATCCTACTAGATTCGGCTTGCAACTCAGTTGGGAAAATTTCTTCAGCATCATCATCCATTTCATACACCGCTGGCAACTCATCAGGGAAAAGGTCCTCAAATTCTTTTAACATAGCTACTTCTTTCATGCTAAATTCATGTACTTCATTCACTTTCTCCAAATTCTGCAACACTGTATTCACCAATACATCTCTCTTCTTTTTCAACTCCTCAGTTTTTCTCTTCTCATCAATCACACACTGTTCAAAAAATTCGTAACTGTTCTTTTCATTGCGCAGCAGCCGTCGGGACAAGGATACAGTAAGATGATGTTTAGAAAGGAAAGGCGCCCCTAAAATCACATCATATTCTCCCCCAAGCGGCGCTATCTTGAAAGCTGTCGCCCCAAACGTAAAGGAGGGAAGAGGAGCCTTGACGTGAGCAAAGGTGAACTCCTTCAAAACAAAAGGTGTCGGTTCTGAAAGGATCGCAGGACGTACCGTGATTGGTACCGGCAAAGGCCGTCGAATGAGGTGTAGCTGGTCAACCGCGTGTTCCGAGAGGAGGTTCGTCCCTGCACCGGTATCAATTAGAACACGAAGGGGTACCCCGTTCAAAAGCCAGCTCATAATCAGGGTCTTGCCATACATAGATCAATCAGGAGAAGCTTCGTACTCAGCCGCCTCCACAACATCGTCATCGGCTGGCCCGTTCAAGTGGTTGATCAATTGCTCGTAAGCAGCTAGATCTGCACGTCCCAGGTCAGGAAAGTTACCCGTCGCCGCAACATCCACCGAACTTTGACCCGTTTCCACAGTCGCCACGTCCACACGACGAGATGGTCTCGCACCACCTGTCGGCACTGCAGGTTTAGATGGTGGGATAGGTGCGCCACCCTTGGCGGATGGATAGGGTGGTGCTCGCGGGAACTCCATAGGAACGGAAAAAAACGTAGCACTAGGTCTCGCTTCGCAACCTCCCAACCACTTGTTGCACGAGGTTTTGCAGCGAGGACATAAGCCGATGGATCGCATGTAAGCGCCAAAACGGACATTACGGGCTTGAAGCTCTTCAGGCGACAGAGGAGGACGGTTGGCGTTCGAAGCCGCCAGATTAACCGAGTGAGTCGATCTAGGATGAACAACTGGTGTAGTACCCGCTGCAGTCGAGGAGGGTCCCGCCGTCGATTGTGATCGGCCAGTGTTCCGCCCGTCAATTGATTGGGCAAGGAGCCAAATGGAACCGAGTCAATCCTCGAAGACAGGGAACGAGAAGCGCTTCGTTAGAGGGTCCAGGCTGTTCTTCACGACGCGCTCCATCTTGATCCACGCCTTAAACGTCCCTGATGTCCCTCCCACTACCGCCTCAGCCAAACTCTCATCACTACAGTCATCAACCCCAATTTCCTCTTGAATCATCCTAGCCCGTCCACAATAAGCTGTTACCGACTCATTCCCCTTCATGGCTAATTCACGTAAGCGCTCCTTAGCCGCTTCATCCCAACCAACCGGCAACACCACACCTTGCATCTCCAACATCACAGACTCCCACGTCTTACCCTCAAAGTTGCGTTCCGATCGCCGGCACCAAGACGAAGCCGGGTCATTTGCCAGGACCATCGGGAGTATACGAAACCGATCTTCCGGTCGATCAATTTGTTTGACACGGAAGGTGGTCTCCATCTGGTATTGCCACATGTGAAAGGCGGCAACATCGCCAAATTTGCCCTTATATTGGGGCCAGTCAGTAGCACGGAACTTCGACAAATCGGCAGGAGCCGGAGCCACAGAGACCGGGGTATCAGCGACCGAAGGCAAGGAAGGCGGAATATTGAAAAGATTCTGTCGTCCTACCGCCGGTGTCGAGGTGAATATTTGTGGGGTCGCCTCATGACCCACTCCCGGGCTGGGTTGCTGAGTAGAAGATCCCCCTCGGGCAGTGACATTACCCTCACGAGATTCGTCCTGAGGCCTCTGACTTTGCAAGAAGTTCTGCAAGAGGCTACGAACTTCGCTAATCTCTGTTCGAAGACCAGCGTTGTCTGAACGTAGTCCATCGTTATCAAGTTTTATTCGAGCCAACTCCGCACTCACATCAAACTCGGGAGGTTGGGAAGTAGACTGTCGATTCGCCATATTCAGAATGGTCTCCTCCCCCGAACTGATGAAGGAGGAATGCGGGTCGAAGTTTCCAGGGATGCTGTGGCGAGGATGGCGCAAATTCGAGGCTGGATGATTAACCTGCCTATCGACCGCAAGCGAATCTTCCGAAAGTTGATCCAGGGAAAGACCGTCAGATGGTAGCGGCCAGTTCGCCGTGATCACAGGGTAGCCGTTAGGATTCGGTGGGCTAACAATAGAATCCCACTGTTGTACTATCAAAGGTGTCGAACCCGTAGATTCGACCAAGGGTAAGAGTGGCGGAGCTGAGGTAGGTCTAATAGGAGTGCAAGATATCGGAGCCGGAACACCACGAGATGGGAACAGGATGCGTTCTGGGTTATCGACTGGAGGTATTGGATCTCCTGGCTTTCGACGTGTTGTTCGATTAAAACCCAGACGATTATCAGACATAGACAGGACAGCAGGTGAGACTGGGCAGGATACTGGAAGTGCGGGGTAACTGGTTTTAAGTTCAGGTGTCAGGCTAAAGCAGGTAATAGAAATAATAAAAAAAAGGAGAATCGAGTGTTCAAAAAAATTTTGAATTGAATTGAGTGGTTTAAGGTTTAATTGAATAGTGGCGCAATAGATTGAGTTCGAGAATCGATCGACGCCTTCGAACTCGGAGGTGTACTTTAAAAAAGTGTAAGGTCGATCTCTCTAGTCGACCTTCACTGATTCTGAGGGCACACGGCCGAAGCCAGACGAAAGTAGCACCTGAGTATGATTTCTTAAAAGGCCTATAAAACACCAAACAATCAATAAGAAAAGCTACTAGTAGAGAGAAGGAGGAAAAGGGTTCCTCCTGAGGGAGTCATACCTATAAAACACCGAACAATCAATAAGAAAAGCTACTAGTAGAGAGAAGGAGGAAAAGGGTTCCTCAAGAGAAGAAACCAAAAAGGAAAGAGGATGGACAATCTATATAAGAAACACTACACTCTACTCTGTAACCCCATAGTCTATATGTAACTAACTCGTACCCATACTCTTCCTTACAGTTGCCTTTGTGTGTCTTATACAAATATCATCAATCAAAATATATCAGTCACTATTTTGGAATGGATATCATCTGTTTCAAAAAATCGAACACAAGATAATTTGAAACAAACAAGAACATCAATCACATTGCATTTTCAAAGCCATTTGTAACTTATTTTTCTGAGTATCAAATCAAATATCTGAGACATCTTTTAAAAACTAATGACATCAAACAAAAACTGAGATGAGTGAGAACACAATTTGAAAGATATTCAATCATAAAACAAACATGATTTTTCGACTTTCAATGAATAATTTTACAAAGAACTTATATGATTATAAATCATAATCTTTAATACTTTGATTATAGTTTGTTTGGACCTAATTGCACAACTCCCTCAAATATCAGCTAAAAAGTTGAATAAATAAAGTACATGAAATAACACTCACACTGCAATAATTTAACTACGAGCTACGAGTTGAGGCAACTATTCCTGCAGCAGCTCTGGCAGCACTCACCGCCTCGTCAAGGGTAAGAGAATTATCTTTCATCAACATGCTGATTAATCGTGCATGTCCTACAGTCTGTTGCTGTTCCAAATCGGCCCGCTTTGCTTGCATTTCAAGCTCATGATGATCTCTCTTGACACCCAGATCAAATTCATTTAATTCAAGCTTCTTCTTTTCATTATTTAACACCACCTCGGCCGTTTCAAGTTCAATTTTTGCTTTTTGCTTTTCTTGTGATTCGTCTAAGACCGGTTTTGGTGCTTGAGGGAACATAGTAGCTAAGTTATCAGCTATGTTGCACATTCGATCAAACTTCATTTCGTGCATTGAAATGAAGTCTTCCTCCTTGATCTCATTATTAGGTTCAACTGATTCAGAGCCACGGAAAGACCGGTTTCTAGGTTCGACTGATGCAGAGCCACGACCACCACGAGTGACTTTTTGGGTTTGAACGAGGTCCTGAATTTGCGAAGCAGAACCCTTTTTGTAACGCTTGCCAATACTAGATTGCGCAGTGGATTGCACTAAAGAAATCTTTGAAGCAGTTTGTTCCAGAGGTGTTGAACTAGTAAGTTGGTGTCGATATGGTGTTTGCGTCAAGGCTAAAGATGGGCTGCGAGATCGATCACCTTCATCGTCATCAAACATCTCCCTGAGTTTTTCCATTAAACCATCTGAATCAATCTGGCAAGTGTCATCATGAACGATGTTTGAGTTGAGCGAGTGTTCTAAAGGGATACGATCTTGACGATCTTGGTAAGCCAAATTTGAGTTAGGTGAGTGCTCTAAAGGATCACGTTCGTCTTCATGATTGTAACTATGATGATCTTCATCTTCAGTGTCGTGAGGTAAGTTGTGTGCAACCAAAAGCCGAGTGTTGCCGTGTCGAGTCGCAAAAATTGGCTCCAGCTCAAAGTAGTACTTGCATTCTTTCAAAATAGGACCTAGTAGTTGAGTAATCATGATGACGAGTAAAGTAAATCAAAGTGAGAAGAGATGAGCAAAGTGAATCAAAGAGAAAAGAGTAAGACTACATTTACCAAAAGCTACCATCTTTTCACGGACCCACTTGGGGCTATCATCATCCCATTCATGTTTTCTTTTTAGTTCCAAAGCAGCATCACAGACTCCACCTCCTGTACCCGTACGAAGCCCGTTTGCTGCTTGCCATTGGACCTCCAATTTCTCAACCTGAAGCCCAAAACGAGCCATAGATGATCAGTTCAACTCATATTTTATCAAGATATGATAAAAGATAACCAACAAACTTACTTTTGATTGAATAGCATGCGGATTTTGCCAGGTAATGCCATTATCAATCAAGTACTGTTCGATTTCTTCTGCCACATCTCTCTTATACGAGCCTTTGTATTTGAATCTATGAAAATTGTCCTCTTCGGTGAGCCAGTTGAGTAAGAAGTACATGGAACTTTTCCCATCACCGTTATCATCATGAGCCCAGTGAATTGTGGTCCTTTGCTTGACTTGTGAATCACCTTCACCTTCTTCTTTTTTGTTTGATTTTTTTTGTTTGAAGTTGATTTGGTTGAAGTTTTTTTGGGCGGATTTTTTTTGGGCGGAGTTTTTTTGGGCGGAGTTTTTTTGGGCGGAGTTTTTTTGGGCGGAGTTTTTTTGGGCGATTTTTTTTTCTTTGGTTTCGATTTGCGAGGGGTTGCGGCAGTTGAGTTTTTTTGTTTGTTGCAAGGCATGTTTCGTTTTGATGGAGGCAGAGAAGGTGAAACACCTGTTTGAGCAAGTTGAATTACGCCGGCAAGGACGTGACCAAGCGTTGAAGGATCAATTTGGAGTTGAGGCTGTGTCAAAGGGTTTTCAACATCCGGCTCGGAGGATGAATTGATAGTATGGATGGACTCGGATGGGAGTTCTGAATCGGAAGGCATACTGATGTGGTTGATGTGGTTGAAGTTAATGTGGAGATTGAGGGAGGTGTTTGTGTAGTATGTGGGGAAAGGGGAAGGTGAGTGATGGGGACGTGGGATGTGGGGGCGAGGCAGAGCTCTGGGGCTGTTGGGGCTGTTGGGTAAAAACTGGGAAGAAAAATCCCGGTTTTAACTTTGTATCCCATAATTATATTCAGGGAATCTCTGATAACAAGCAATAAATTGTGGGCCCAGTTTACCATTGTTTTTTTGGCTGCATTACATATACTTTAGTGTTGTTTATGTCCTGAAGGGTGGAACCATGTTTCTACAACTACTAGTACTGATATGATCTTTTCTAAGATATCACTATTCCATATCTCTTGAAAAAATTGGTCTTGGGGTAGTGTTTCAAAGAAGTGCACAGAACAATCTAGCAATGTGGGATATATCTGGCACCGTGTCCAGGTAGCGTTCGCTTGTTGACGAGCGCGCACCACTTCCCTTTCTGCCTCAAAGGGAGTTGGTGTGCGCTTGTTGACAAGCAAACCCTACACAGACACAGTGTGGCAGATTTCTTCTGGTAAACCTGATTGTATGCAGCTTGATATTGTGATACAGAATTTCTTCAAAACAATCTCCCATCAAGGCTTGTGATTTTTGGCCAAGCCTCACTTATTTGCATAGACAGATGTGCAATGACTTTTGGATCCCGGTAGTAATATGTACATCTCACAGAACACGAGTGCCAAGATATGGCTTTTTCAATTTTCTTTGAGAAACACTTGCAAGAATATTCAGATACAGTCCAAAAACATCAGCCAAATATCCTCTACTATCTTGAAGAATTTTCTCTGTAAACCTTGTTTATTCATGTAGAAATATGCACAATTTCTGGAGTATCCTGACGGTACTATCCACACCCACAGGGGGAAAAATAGAAGCTCTCATAGATGTGAGCAGATAAAGTTTGGAGGTTTCTCCAAGATTGTTTCCAGTTTGTTTCCAATTTTCTTCCAATTTTCCTCCAGTTTTCTTTCAGCTCATCATCTGATCAAATGGTCAGCATGGCCTGAGCAGATGGGTTAGGCCTTCCTCAGGCTTTATCCCCTAGCCAAGAAGCCTGAGGGAGGGCTAGCTCATCTGCTCAGGTCATGTTGGGCCCTCCAATGCTCAGCCTGCACAGTCAAGTGACCAAATGGATGA